TACGTTTGGTCGTTCGGTAGCGAATATCTGGTTGTGTATCGGACGATAATCACGCGCCCGATGACCTAATCTACCGAGTGCCGCATTTGTGGCACTCTAATTTTTTATTGCGGTTTCTATTTTGTTCTTGATTGCCTCTAGTTTTCTCATTATTATTGTAATATTAAATTGATTGATAAAAAGGAATAGCGACTGATACAAAAAGAACTCGACTTATTGTCTTCACAGCGCTAAGAAAGAACACTTACTTAGTTTTAATCGGAAAAAGAACAAAAACTTAACTTCATAAAAATGACACACACACACACACACACACACACACACACACACATAGGTGGAGGGGGAACGCACGCAGGTAGCCAACATAAGAAAAAACTTTCCAACTGACTTTGTCTGCGCTCGCATCTAGTAATATGTTTAACGCGCTAAACTCGAAAATATTGTTGTCTTCTAACACTCCTCCTCAACAACAATTTCATTAATTATCCAATCCACTTCGTCATCTTAAATTCTTTAGTCTTACTTGCTCAAGTCTCACTGGCTTAGTTAAAATATCCGTGATCATAATTTCGGTTTGGATAGTATACGTAACTAGTAATATCTGTATCGCTTAAGGATGAATTCTCATTGAGCGCGTCACGCGTCGCGTCATCTATTGCGTTACGATACGACGCGAAGTAAACTTAAAGATAACGTATTGTTGCGAGGCAACCTGAATAAAGTAATCCGACCTCGCGATACTCGCCAACTAGCCAGAATCCCAAGGATCCTGACTAGTACGATAATTAAAATATATAATTATAATATGTAATTAAAAATAATAAATAATAAATAATGCGCGGACGCGCCGATTGCAACCGATGTGCAATTCGGCAAGGACACTGACTCCGACAACACGTGTCGAAACGCTGACGCACTAAACAGCGCTTCGACACGAGGACGCGCCGAGACCGCGTAACAGCGGACTAATAAAAGAACGACGAGAGTATTAGGCGCAGACTTAGATTGAGAGGCGCGGACACACGAGTACCGACGAGTAGGATCGTAAGGAAGTGTAACATATCAATGGTGGATGATCTTGAGTGTCAGAATTGAGGAAGCAGCCATCACCCTTTCGAGACGTCGTGGTTACATAGCGACAGGCCGCAGTGTACTTATTATTAGTCCAAGCCCTCCGAGTCCCGCACAGGCGGAAAATACAAGAGATCCACGCGATAACGTGCGTCGTAATTTAAACAACTATTATTCCGATAATCTAGAGAGCCAAACGGAGTTACATCCGAATATTGTAATTGAACGCGTGTTCTCGCTCAGCGACATTGATAACAGTTTACTGACGAGTAACGAGAGACGCGACGATGATTTACTATGCCCGACAGACGCAAGATCCGACGTAAGTGACGATACGAACGCAAGCAACCGCGAAGAATTTTCGCTGACATCCTACGACAGCAGCGTATTCGATCGAATTCCATACCGCTTCGCGAGACGCAAGCCAGATAGAAATGGCAAATCAGCCGTCAGGCACGCCGTTACGACCGATCGCAGAAGAGCGACATGTAACCGATATAGAATTAGTGGACGAAGCAAAGCAAATGAGAGCCACTTTAAATCAGTCACACTGGAAAACCGATCCAGAAACCTCGCGCGACTCGCGAGACATGATGCTAACAGAAATACTGGAAGGAATGCGAACGTTACAGAACCAGTATGAGCCAGTTAGAGATGACAAATTACAATCGGGATATAGACGCAGGAATTAATGAACTGAGAGAAATTGTATACGGGCATACGATGAACGATGTCCGGAACTCGCGAGATCCCCTGAACGCGTATATGCGATTAAAAGAAGCTCGCAACATGATTCCGGAATTCGACGGAGCTTCGCACAAACTGCCAGAATTTTTAAGCGCGGCAACGTATGCCATGAAAAACATAAATCCAAGAGAGGAAAGCATGCTATTAGAAGCAATATTATGTACAAAATTGAAAGGAAGAGCCATGACCGATTTCCAAACGCGAGATATACGTGACCTTGCACAATTAAAGCGAGAGCTGGAAGTGTGTAAAAAAGTGTGCTATCTCAGCAAAAAGAGCACACATTTGCAGCTAGAATTTAATACATTGAAACAAAAGCCGGGAGAATCGGCAAGAGCGTTCGGGTTACGCACAGATAAATTAGCCATGGAATTATATGAATCCATGATTGAAGGGCGACAAGACAAAACAGAATCGAAGAGAGCGATCTTAGAAACTATACAACAACAAGCTTTATATAACTTCTAACTAGGATTGCAAGACGATATAAAATTACTAGTGCGTGCGCAACACTATACGACATTGCAAGATGCCATAGCCGGCGTGGAGGAAAAATTTAAGGGACCAACGAGGAATTTCGCACGTCCAAAAGCGAATATACAATACTCACCCGCCCGCGAGAATAGACTGCGGCAATGTCACAAATGCGGAAAGATTACGGCCGAGATTGCCGAACAAGCAAATGGGTCGATTCCCTCTATCACAACCGGACAGACAGCTGCGTATAAACATAATGAGTAAATACTGCACGCACTGCAAGAAAATCGAACATAATCGTGCAGAATGCTGGATACTTCAAGGAAAAACCGAAAAAGGTACCCGCCAATTCAAAAATAGTAATACAAATAATAACGCAAATAAGACGCGAATAAATACTATGATAAAAACAAAGCGAGATAAGCCGCGAAGAGAGAGCGCTGACTCAGTGTCAAGCAGCAGTAGCGGTGATGAAAACGACAGACCGAAGGCCAGGGCTACGCGCACGGCCCGGAAGTATCAAGTTGCACAAGTAACGCGAAGAGAAGCGCGCAACTAGAATTGGTAACACTACTAATAAAAGAAATAAAAAAGGATAAAGCAACTTTTCTGCTAGATACCGGTACTACTCTCATCTTAATGAAAATTGGAAATTTCAAAAGCGAAACTCCGATGCGTGAAAAAAATCGCATTGCGTTACGTCCCGGCGTGGCGGGATATAAGATCCACAGGGCTAGAAAAGATGAAATTAACAATAAAATTAGGAAAAGAAGAAATTCGTCATTCGATATACGTGGTGAGAGATGACTTCCCTATGGACTATGAAGGAATACTTGGAATCGATTTCCTAGCCAAACAAAAGGTATGATCACGGAAAAAAGATACTAAGTATAGGCAAAACAGATTTAAAATTGCAACCATACCAAAAGGTACTACTGAAAGCGTAGCGAAACAATAATTGAAGTTTACTAATAAAAATCAAGTGGTATAATAAGGCAAGAGCAACCGAAGCCAGGAGTATCGGTGCTCTCTGGTGGACCCCAAGGAATTCACCTCTCCGATAAGTGTAATAAATACGACAGAAGAATCTGTTGAAATGAGCACACCGATAGTAAATCTAGAAGAGATAGAGACGCAGAGCGCTGAGATGCTCAATACAGTGAAAAAGGACACCGATACTATAGGCGAAAGAAGAAAACGAGTGCGAAAACAATTACGCACAGATCACTTTAACATTGAAGAGAAAGAAACGTTACAACAAATGTGTAATGATATATTTCATTTGGAAGGTGATTCACTCTCGCACACGACCGCGGTGCAACATGAGATCACCACGCGCACGCATAGCGCACCGGTCAACATCTGACCGTACCGCCTCCCCGAGAAGTATAAGGCGGAGGTGAATAAGCAGATAACGAAAATGCTCGAGGAAAAAATTATTAGACCAAGCACAAGTCAGTGGAACGCCCTAATATTGATCGCCCTAAGATTGACCAAAGAAGGCCGATGCGTCCGGAATACCTAAACTATACATTGTCGTAGACTTTCAGAAACTAAATAACTTAATAATAGAAGTCTCATTTCCGTTACCGAATATTACAGACATTCTCGACTAGCTCGGGAATGCGAAATACTTCTCGACCTCGCGTCGAGTTACCATTAAATAGCAATGCACAAAGATAAAAACAAGATGGCTTTCTCCACATCGTATGGACATTACGAATTTAACCGAATGCCTTTCGGGTTAAAAAATGCGCCCGCCACATTTCAGCGATTAATGAATTCAGTGTTAGCGGGAGTACAGGGCATAAGATGTCTTGTATATTTAGACGACATCGTCGTTTACGGACCAAACTTAAAGGAACATAATAAGCAACTAATCGAAGTATTCAAAAAATTGAAAAATTATAATCTCAAACTATAGCTGAGCAAATGCGAATTTCTAAGAAAAGAGGTGACATATTTAGGTCACATTATTTCGGAAAACGGTATTCCGGGTTCATCGAAAATAATGACTGTAACAAACTTTCCAGTACTCAAGAAAATAAGGGATATACAGTCCTTCATAAGATTAGCTGGATATTATAGGAGATTTATCAAAAATTTTTCAAAGATCACAAAACCATTAACGAAATTAACTAGAAAGGACGAAAAATTTAATTGGGCGGCAGAACAACAAAACGCATTTGAAATATTAAAAGAGAGGCTGACGACCGCGTCAATTCTGAGTTACCCCGACTTTACAAAGCAATTCATACTAACAACAGACGCATCCGGTTATGTCATCGGAGCGGTATTATTGCAAGAACCAGTGGGCCAAGACCGACCAATTGCTTACGCGAGCAGAAATTTAAACAAAGCGGAACAGAATTACAATATGACGGAGAAAGAATTGCTAGCCATAATATGGGCAGCCAACATTTTCGACCGTATCTATACGGAACAAAATTTCAAATAGTTACAAATCACATTGATCTTATGTTTGGGTTTATGTACACCAATGTGGTGGTTCGTGCGTCCACCAATGTAGTTGTTGAGCATCTGATGTGATTCCGGCGCAATCAGTCCGCTGTCTGCTTTCGTGTGTGCAAAGCGGAATGGGCGACGGGGGAAAGGAAGGTTTTCGTGCTGGTTCCCAGAATAAGGCAAATCTCACAAGTACATTTTTATATTCTTAAAAAATACAAAGAAGGATGTCGTGAACATTAGGAGCGTGGCGTGGGGGTCTGTGTCCCCCGTGTGTATGATGTGCCTCCGGAGGTGACCGGGTCGCGAGGTTCCTCTCGATATCGCTGCGCTCTTCTCTCGCGGGCACCAGCCCCGCCGTGGTGAGTAGTCCTGGCACGGGTCGTCAGTGCGTTTTCGACGGATGGAGGGGCCTCGGTCTGAGAGGCGGCGTAGAATGAAGTCTGCCGGTGGTTTCGACGGGGCGTTCCCCGTGTGATACTCCTCAGGTCCAATGATATAAGGCGCCACGAACTGCTAGGGGGCTCAGAGCGTAGTCCGGTGAAGCCTTGAGCAGGCGGGCAGCGATGCGCCGCAATCTGTGGCGAGAACGTCGCTCGTTGCGGGGTAGTTGGCTCGTTGCGTGCGTCCCTACGGGCCGGAAAGTTGATGCTGCGGCCTGGCGTAGGTGGGCAAGTCCGTGGAGCTGCGCTCGGACGCGGTGGTGTCCGTGATGCTGGTCCGGACGCGTGGCTATCTGCGGATGAGGAGGATGTCGAGAGGGCGCCGAACAACTCGACTAGTCGTTCTCGCCCAGAGGCCGTGGGGCGATAGTCGCTCCTCCACGCTGGTGACGCGGGCTCTGGTCGGCGCGGGGTCGCCGGTGTTCCGGGATGCGTCGGTGCCTGGCTGTCTCGTCGTCCTCCCAGTCGAGAAGTCCGCTCTGTGCTGGTCCTGGCGGCGGGGGTAGGCCTCCCCGCGGTGATGGCGGCCAGCAGGCTGCTTGGGCATGGGCGGATGCGGCTGCGAGGTCGGCGACAGTGCAGAGGTGGCTGCGACGTGGTGGCGAAGTCTGGTCCTTGGCTGGCGTACTCCTGCGTCGTCTCCGCGGCGTGGCCTTCCTCCGGAGTCGGAGGTAGTAGCTCGTCCAGTTGCCTCTCGGCAGGGATGCCGGGGGTCCCGCTCAACGGCGTGTACGGCCGTTGAGGAAAGCTTGGCGAGAGGAGGCACGGCGTGCATGGCCGCGTCGGAGGGTAAGGAGTCCCTCTATGGCGTGAACGGCCACCGAAGGGAGAGTACGACCTATGAGTGGTCGGTAACGCCAGCCGCAAAAAAGGCCGTGTAATTGACCGCAAGCGGTCGGACCTCAGCGCTACTTAAGCCGTGTACGGGCCCCAGTGCGCACTGAGGGGAAGTGTCGATCGATGGTGCTAGCCGCTCTTATATAGCGGTGATGTTGCTTTCCGCGCACGAGTGGATGATTGACCGGTGGCCATCTCGTGGCGAGCGCGTGAATCACTCCCGTGCGCGGGCGGGCCCCACTGCTTTCCGCGCACGAGTAGACGGTCGAACGGCTGGCCATCTCGTGGCGAGCGTGAGTCACTCCCGTGCGCGGGCCCACGGTGTCGGCGCGTGGCAGCGCGGCGGCGCGCGCCGGCGCGCTCGTTGCTGGGCCAGAATGGCGGTGACCGCCACAATCTAGTTATTTGACATAACAGATCCGGGCTCGCAATTAATTAGATGGAGACTCAAATTGGAGGAATACGACTACGAGGTAGTGCATAAAGCCAGCAAAGGCAATACAAACGCTGATGCGCTTAGCAGAAATCCGATCGCGCGCGATACATAGCGTCGGTACAGATAAATAGCGTCGAGCGCGACAAGGAAGAGCGCGAATTCAGCAAGGAGGAAAAAGAGCAGATAATATACGAATATCATAATGCTCCCCTTAGGGGACATCAAGGTGCATTACACGCACAATAAATAGAGTAAAATTAATACACAACTGGCACGGACTAAGAGACGTGGAAGATTTACATCGTAAAACGCGAGTATTGTCAGAAGAATAAGTTAAGCAGAAAAATTAAGATGTCTCTAGTACTAACAGAAACGGCAGACAAACTGTTCGAAAAATGCGCCCTGGACATCGTGGGACCACTCACGGTCACCACGCAAGAAAATAAATATCTGTTAACATTTCAGAATGATTTAATAAAATCCAGTAAAGCAATATCGATACCGGACCAGGAAGCAAAAACTATCGCCAAAGAAGTTACCACAAAGATAATCTGTGAATTCGGAATACTAGAGAAAATATTAACGGATCAAGGTACGAATTTCGTCAGCGAGATGTTTAAGAATGTATGCACCCTCTTGAAATAACGAAATTCAAACTATCGCATACTATCCAAAAAGTAACAGAGCTCTAGAGAGATCACATAGAACTCTAGCTGAATATTTAAGGCATTACATAGATGAAGACCAAACTAATTGGGATGAATGGATTCCATACATCGATGTTTACCTACAACACGACATCGCATACTGCGACGGATTATACGCCGTTCGAATTACTGTACGGGCACCAAGCAAGCCTACCTACGGCACTGACGATTCCGCCGAAGCCGTACTATACATACGATAACTATGTGCAAGAATTGAAGGAACGACTCCGAGTCACACAGAAACTGGCGAAAGAACACATCCGTGAGGCGAAACAAAAAGCGAAAAACTATGCTGACAAAAATGCTAACAGCAAAACTTTCAAAGTGGAAGACAAAGTCCTCCTGCATGACGAAGTAATGCATCGAGGACAGTCAAAAAAATTAGAAGCACCATGGATAGATCCGTACCAAATAATCGAGGAAATTTCAGACGTGAATTACAAAATAAAATTAAAACGAAAAGTTGTGATTGTACACGCCAACCAACTCAAACTATTTTTCGAAAATTAGAAAACGACGAAGAAAAGCATTAGTAAAGCAGTAATACAAGCATAAATCATATACATATATTAGTAGTAATAAGTAATTAGTTAGTAATAAGTAAATAGTAAGTTAGTAGTTAGTAGTAATAAGTAATTAGTAAATAAAAAATTTGCAAACATACCAATTGCGGCGACGCAGCACGGACAATCCACCGTCCAGTGGCGGCGCACAGACGGCCTAGATCCGCAGGGGATCACGAGGGAATCTCGCTTCGACCCACATCTGCATCTCTTCAGCCACGTGCGGGGACACTATCCATGAAGCGCGAACGCACTCATGGCACACTATGGGGGTGAACTCCCGTTCATACATCGCGCACTGCATTGCCGATTCCATTATTATTCCAACAGTCAATTGCGCGTTCTCACTATCACGAACTACGACAAGGCTATACACGGCTACGGACAATGTCAGACTGAATTAAATAATTTACTATATGCACTCCGCAGAAAAAATGCACGGGTAGGATTCACCGAAAAGCAATCCGAATCCCGGTGCTCCTCGTAGGACGCCCCGCGCGCGGAGGAGTACAAATAACACGATTCCCGACGCACGGATGACAAAGAACCATTACGTTTCGAGGAAAGTAGATCGAGATTATAATAAACCATGTAGTACTACTTGAAGGAAAAGAAAAGAGAGAAAAGAAAGAAAAATGCACAAAAAGGGAGAGATAATGAAATACGCTTACCTTAATGTTGCGATGGCAACACCCCCACATGGCGTACCCCAGAAGTGTCACAAACGATGACCAAAATTCGATCCAGCGGGAATGGCCGACGAACCTATGGCTCCCGTCTGGGGGGGATACGTGTCTGCACCATGCCCCGCAAAATACATTTCGTCGCACACCAGTCATGTCGCACGCGTGGAATCGTAACACGAAGCCAATAGGCGCGATCACACGACGCGCAAGATAGGCATATAGCAACGGGTACAGCCATACAACGCGTACGGAAAACGACGGTAACAATCTGAATAACCGTTCGGTGCGAAAGCTGTTGATGAAATGGCGTGCACCGAACAGCATAAGAAAAATTAAATAGAATAAGAAGCTGTAATATGATTCTCGAATTTTTCAGAATATTGGCCATACAATGGCACTTATGCAGCGCAGAGGCGGACGTCACACCGTACGTGCTGAAAAAAATTTCAAAACACGCCGGGCATCTATTTCGAGGAAACAGGATCAATGAACCAGGTGCAAACAATCTGGAAATTAATAATTAAATTGGACATCAGCGCGCTGGAAAAAAGAGCGCGGCAGATAGAAAAATACCTGGATCAAACCAGCGAGCAATGCAAGAATCATCGGATCCGTCCAATTTACATAATGCAAATAATACAGAAAGATAATGAAAAATTAACACAGTTGTTTACGCGACTGAGAACTATCTATTATACTGGAGATAGCAAACGAGGATTGATAAACGTGATTGGCGCGATAAGCAAAACCTTATTCGGCACTATAAATGCCGAGGACGAGGAGTACCTCAATGAGCAAATACAGATGCTGCAAGAAGACCAACAGACCAGAAGACCAACAGACCAGAAGACCAACAGACCTTACAATACGCGACGAAAACTCAGATCAAAATTATCAACGCCACAATAGGGCACATGGATGCATTGGAAAAAATTAGTTATAACGAAAATATACTGCGGAATGTCACAGCACGGATGGAAATACAGCTTGCGAAATATACGCAACGCGAGGACATGGACGAACTTATTAATACTGCGGACAATAATGACAGATCTTACAAAGGACGTAGAAAACATCGAATTATTTATCACTGACTAAAAATAGGATAGTACACGCGTGGCTATTGCCGTTGGAAACAATTATAATAGAGCGAGAAGCAGCGACTCAATTGATCGAAGATCTACACTTTCCATTTACAATATGGGTGGAAAACTGGCATACGATCCAAAAATATAACAATAAGCGCATATTATAATAAACCGGACATTTACACGATTATTCGTTTCCCGATAATCGCGCTTCCAACATTTAAACTAATAAGAATTGTATCATTACTGATACGCAACCACGACATTTTTACATTCATAAAAATTCATCACCCGGTAGTAGCGATAGATAAAGAAAATCATTACTACATTGTTGTGCGGATCGTTTCGGTGGATCGGTCAAGGAGTCGGCGGGAAGGAGGCGCTCACCACTTTGTTTTAATACCAATAAATTTTATTAACACTTGATACAGATTGTCCTTTTTAATTCGGACCGCGACAGACGTGACGGCACCGCGGATCTCGACCAGCCCTCTCCTCGTATCGGTCTTCCGTTTTATCTTGTTCCAGGCGGCCGGTCCTTGTCGTGTCATCAACAGGTTCGTCAGCGTTCGTGGTATATTTCTGGGTCGCGCGGCGGTTTTTCGCGTAAGGGCCGCGCAACCCGGTTAACAGTTGCTTCACGTGGAACGATTACACAATATTTGCGCGATTAGCACGGTAGCGTTGGTAATCGCTATCGCTTGATAAAATAATAATTCGGATAAAGTATCGCTTGCCGCAATCCGCTTTGTCAGCGGTGAGCGTGATTGCGTTCTCGGCGCTCGCGACAACATATTACCAGACAAAAACGAATTACAAACATGCATACAAGACGGATAACTGTACATATGCAAACGAGATTTCCCCGTCTATCATATTAACACGAACGCACCATGCGAGATGCAAATCTATGTAAACGCGCCGAGTCAACTCAACAACTGCGAACAGCGATGTATAGCGTCCAATACACCCTTGTGGATAACATTAACGGAACCACAAGCGTGGCTATATTCAATGATAGCAAATCAAAAAATAAGCATCCAGTGCGATAATTCATCGGAACAACAATTAGAGCTAAGCAGCACGAGAAAAATAAAAATTAACGGGACATGTAAATTAATAACGCCCGAAGTATTAGGTGTACAAAAAGTTCTGAGCTTTTTTCATATAACTGAAATAACAATTTAAATTTTATATATCTTTTATATATCTTCCCGCCCTTTTGCGGTTTTAAAGCGTTGACATTTAGCCTTCTAAAATGCCATACGGTTTGGCGTTTGATGCATATAACCTCAAAAATCAGTAGTGTTCACGATGGCAATAACAAAAGAGCATATTCGATTTTCCATATTCGATATCCACTTCACGTTTCATCTGAAGAAAAATGCTGCTGAAGCCACTGCAATGATTTGTGCTGCATATAGAGAGAACGCTGTAAGTCATACTACATGTAAAAGATGGTATCAAAAATTTCGCCAAGGAGATTTCAGTCTTGAAGATGAACCGCGTGCTGGACGCCCTCAAAAGATTGAAACGGATGAATTGCAAGCACTGCTGGATATAAACTCTGCGCAAACTGAAAAGGAGCTTACAGAACAGCTTGGTGTTACACAGCAAACCATTTTCGTACGTTTACATACGATGGGAAAGGTTCAGAAGGAAGGCAGATGGGTTCCGAATGAATTGTCTGAAGACAACAAAAATCGTCGGCGTGACACTGCACTCACTTTGCTTTCAAAATTCCGGAAAAAGATTTTCTGCAC